AACGGATGGACGGCTTACGACTCTCTGCGACCGCTGGCCTACAGCACAGTCGCCGATTTGGTTCATCACATTCGCAATCATTTGCCGCTCAAAGACTTGGCCTCAGCGGTGAACGTGTTCTCGAAGAACGTTCACGACGAGTCCCTCCCGACGTCCATTCAGACCATGTCCTGCAAACTGTTACTCAATTTAGTGGAATGTATTCGCCAGAAGTCGGAACAGGACCCGAGTGTCAACGCGCGGGAACTGTTGATGAGAATGTTGGAGGTGTTTGTCATTAAATTCAAGAACATATCCACTCTTCAGTTGCCGGCGCTCATCAATAAGTCGAAGCCGAGTCCGGCGCCGACACCAGCCGTCGTGGCCTCACAACCGGCCACTCCGGCAGTGGTGGACGCGAGTAAATTCGAAGACGTGAAGTTCGCCATCGGTTTCCCGTCGGGTATCGGCGAAGCGATGGCCAAAGACGACAAACCAAAGTTCGGTTTCCCGGCCTCGCCTTCTGTCAACTACTCGGTGACCGACTGTCGGAGTTTAGTGAAGACACTGGTCTGCGGCGTGAAGACAATCACGTGGGGTATACCGTCGTTCAAACATCCCAACGAACCCATACAACAGACCAATCAGAACATCAAACAATTTCACCCGAAAGAGACGATAGTCTTTATCCGATTGGTTAAGTACGCGATGCAAGCGCTGGACATATATTCGCTGACCGGCGCCGCGACCCCCATCTCTGCGCCCAACGCCGCCGGCATCAGTCAAACGGCTCTCCGGCCGCCAGTCATGCAAACGGTTCGCTCCAAAGAGGAGAAGGAAGTGTTGGAACACTTCGCCGGTGTCTTCACGACAATGAATCCGCAGACATTCAACGAAGTGTTCTCCACAACCATTCACTTCGTGGTGGAGAGGATTAACTCGAATTACGCGCTCCAGATTGTGGCCAACAGTTTCCTCGCCAACCCTCAGACGTCGCCCATATTTGCGACAATTCTTGTGGAGTACTTACTCGAGCGGATGGAAGAGATGGGCTCTAATATGGAAAAGTCTAACCTTTACCTCAAACTCTTTAAACTGGTGTTCGGTTCGGTGTCACTGTTTGCGGCCGAAAACGAACAGATGCTTAAACCACACCTTCACTCGATTGTCAACCGGTCGATGGAGTTGGCGCTCACCGCCAAAGAGCCCTACAATTACTTTCTTTTATTGCGGGCTTTGTTCCGCTCGATTGGCGGCGGAAGTCATGATCTCCTTTATCAAGAGTTTTTGCCACTCCTTCCCAGTCTTCTTCAGGGACTCAATAGTCTTCAAAGCGGTTTACATAAGCAGCACATGAAAGACCTGTTCGTCGAACTCTGTCTGACAGTTCCCGTACGGCTGAGCTCTCTATTGCCATACCTTCCGATGCTTATGGATCCGTTAGTTTCGGCGCTCAACGGCTCGCAGACACTCGTCAGTCAAGGCCTCCGTACACTCGAGCTTTGTGTCGACAATCTTCAGCCCGACTTCCTGTACGAACACATCCAACCGGTCAGAGCGGAGCTAATGCAGGCCCTGTGGCGGACACTGCGTAATCCGGCCGACAATATATCTCAAGTGTCGTTCCGAGTGTTGGGAAAGTTTGGCGGCGGGAACCGGAAGATGATGACCGAACCCCAGAAGTTGGAGTTCAATGAGAACCGCGAGGGCTTCAACACAAACGGTTCCACAATTGTGGTCCACTTTCAAGAGCACCGAACGGCCATTAATTTGCCCATCGATCGAGTGATTGAGACGGCGTTCAATGCGCTCAAGTCGTCGAGCACTGACCCCTTCTATAGGAAACAGTGCTGGGAAGTGATCAAAGGCTTTCTCGCCGCACACATCCAGCAACAGGCGGATGACGAGAAGTATCGGATCCAACACTTCTTCAATCNGACGAGAAGTATCGGATCCAACACTTCTTCAATCATCAGAGCTTTACCACTACTGAAATCAACGCAATTCAGGGTCCGTTCTATAAGTGTACGGACAATGAGTTGCGAAAAGTGCACGAAATGGCTCTGACGGGTATGTTTGTGGCCGTCGCTATCAAAGAGTTGCGATCAGTTGTCCTCCCGTTCATGGTGTCGATTGTGCGCCACTACACACTCGTGGCCATCAGTCAACAGTGCGGACCAATCAATTTGGGCGGTCGTCAACACAAACTGCAAGGCATGGATCCGTTTGTGTTCATCGACGCCGTGGCCGCCATTATGGGTCACGAAGAGAAAGAGCTGTGCAAACCGGGCCACTGGGCGCTCATATTCATTCTGGACACTGCCATCGCTGTGTTGGGCAGTAAGGAGAGGGCGTGTCAACTGCCGCTCTATGAATATCTGGTCGAACGGATGTGCTCTCTGTGTTACGACAGGGCCTGGTATGCAAAACTCGGCGGTTGTATTGCCATTAAGTTCCTGTTCGAGCGAATGACACTTAAATGGGTGTTTGGCCACCAATACGTGCTCCTGAAGGCCCTGTTGTTCGTAATGATGGATCTGACGGGTGAGGTGTCGTCCGGAGCGGTCGATATGGCGAAAGCGAATCTCGAGAAAATGCTTACGTATTGCGGAACTCCTATACCCGGCGACGGAACCAACGCTGACTTAATCGACGCCCAACGCAAGTCACTGCATGAGGTGACCCAAGAGCTGGTCCGTCAGGTGACGTCGCCCAACACCTGCGTGCGAGAGCAGGCCATCCACTCGCTGGAAGTGTTGGCCAAAGTGAGCGAGAAGAGTGTGACGCAAATAATGGAGCCGCACCGGGAAGTGTTGGCCGATATGATACCGCCGAAGAAGCACCTGTTGCGTCATCAGCCGGTGAACGCCCAGATCGGCATAATGGACGGCAACACGTTCTGCACCACATTAGAGCCGCGACTCTTCACCATCGATATCAGCATTCAAGAGCACAAAGTATTCTTCAGCGAACTCTACTCCCTGTGCGACACCGAGGACTCGGTGCTCATGAAGTTTCCCTGTTATAAGAATGTGACAAATCTGGTGCCGTTGCGTAAGTCGGCGCTCAGAGCGCTCAGCGCCTGTCACTACATAACCGCCGCCAAAGACAAGATCTTTGTCGTACTGATGAAGGCGTTGAACGCCAAAGACATGGATTTACAGCAAACCGGTTACGAATGCATGAAAAAGTTCATTAGTCACGTCCACATCGAGAAGGAAGTGCTCACATCCAATCTGAGGCCACATTTGGTCAATTTGGGTGACTTTCGGTCACTAAATCTCAATGTCATCCAAAAGATATCATTTATGACACAATTATTTCCCGATATATTCAACGAAAAACTATGCGAACAAATGATACAACACTTGAAACAGTGGACCGACACCGCTATCCGTAATCTAAGGAGTGGCCAAAAGTATACCGAAGAGCTGAAGACTTGCGCCGCGATTATCAATCTATTTCACGAAGTAATTTAGAAATCAATCATAAGTTTAAGAACTTATTTGTATTGAAAATTTTGTTTCTTTTTTCATAACAGATATTAGCGGCGAGTCATAAGTTTGTGGAACAGCTGCTGATTCTTGTGTTCAAGACTGAGAAGCAGATAATGATAGAGCCCGGGAGTAAACTTCGGGAACCGCTGCGAAAGTTTCTACAGAGATATCCCGAACAGACAATTGAACTGTTATTTATTGAGCGCAATATGTTTGAGGACCAGATCTTCCGTTTTGTTAAGGTTTGCATTGATTTCAACACTAATTCCCAGCACTTTGTTTAACAATACGTTTATCTTTCTCAACAGTTTCTACTGAAAGGCAGCGGCGGACAGATATTCAGACAAATTGTGGGCCAAAAACTCTTCAAACTTGTAAAGATGGCCAAAGCGCCGGTCGTTATCCAAGAGCGAGTGCCCGTTACGGCGCCGTCTCCGCAGCCGTCACCCCAACCCTCGCCATCACCTCAGGGCGCGCCCGACGGTTCGGCCACACCTCCAGTCGTCTCATCACCGCTACCGCAACAGACGAAGACAATACCCGTCACATACGACCTCCAATTCCAGGCCATTTCTATCACAAACATTCTGGTGAAAAACGACGAGCAATGGATCGCATTGCCCGCGCAGAAAGAGCTCGTGGATACACTGAAACAGGTGTGGAGTTCCGACGCCTTTCACAGCAAATACGTGACCAACGAGTGCTCCGATTATATCCATTGGAAAGAACCGAAACTATTGGCCAAATGTTTGCTCAATTACTTCCAACAACACCCGACCGATATCGAGCTACTGTTCCAACTGTTGCGGCCGTTTATGGGCCGATATCTGTGCGAATTTGACTTCTTGCGCGACTTCCTCGAGAACACAGTGGCCAACAATTACACCATCGAATGGAAACGGCAGGCGTTCTTCAAGTTCGTGGACGTGTTCCACAACGTGGCCTATCCTCAGGAGCTGAAGGCCAAGATCTTGCAGTACGTGATCGTTCCCGCGTTCAGCATATCGTTCGAGAGGGGAGAGGGAGAGAAGTTGATCGGCGGACCGCCGGCGCCCGAACACGACAATCACGACAATTTGATCAGCGTTTTCATCACACAAGTCATCGATCCGGAGAATCCGTTCGGAATGTCGGACTCCGTGCGCATACTTTTGCTACAATTCTCGTGCCTTCTCGTAGAGCAGGCGTCCCCTCACATACACGACGCCGCCAACAAACGTCAGGGCAATAAACTGCGGCGACTCATGACATTTGCGTGGCCCTGCCTTCTGGCCAAGAACTGTGTGGATCCGGCCACCAAATATCACGGACACCTACTTCTCGCCCATATTATCGCCAAATTCGCTATCCATAAGCGTATCGTTCTTCAGGTGTTCCACAGTCTGCTCAAAGCGTTCGCAGTGGAGGCGCGAACCGTCGTCCGTCAGGCCCTCGAGATATTGACGCCCGCTATGCCTCAGCGCATGGAAGACGGCAACACTATGTTAACCCATTGGACCAAAAAGATTATCGTCGAAGAGGGCCACACTCTCGCACAGTTGGTCCATATGTTGCAACTACTCGTCCGTCACTATAAGGTCTACTATCCCGTCCGACACCATCTCATCCAACATATGGTCACTTCTGTGCAACGGTTGGGCTTCACGCCGAACGCCACCATTGAGCACAAGAAGATAGCCGTAGATCTCGTAGAGGTTATCATTCGGTGGGAATTCACACGCATTCGCGAAGAACAGGAACAGATCGCCAGCCCGTCGCCGATGGCGGTGGACAGCCCGACGACGAGCGCCCAACGGATCCCTCGACCCTCGAGCGCCTTACCCTCTGTGCCGGGCATTCGACCGATGCCTGCGGACAGTAACAAACCCATAGATAAGATGCATTCGGACGCTGTGGTCAACTTTCTCTTACGCCTGGCCTGTCATGTGAACGAAACGACAACAGCTGTCGGCTCTAACGGTGAACTCCTGTCGCGGCGTTGCGTCAGTCTATTGAAAAACGCTTTGAAACCGGAAGTGTGGCCCAACTCTGACCTCAAACTGCAATGGTTTGACAAACTGTTGGCCACAGTGGAGCAAACGCAGCCCAACTACGGCAACATCTGTACGGCACTGGAATTGCTGTGCTTTCTGTTGACAATCCTCCGCAAGGAAGCGGTGCTCAACAGTTTCAAGCCGTTGCAGAAGGGCATCGCCTCCTGCATGACGTGCAACAACTCCAAAGTGATTCGTTCCGTACATAACCTGTTGTCGCGACTCATGAATATGTTTCCGCCCGAACCGACCACATCGACAGTGGCCTCGAGACACGACGAGTTGGACGCACTCTATCAGGCGGTCAACAAAATCATTCACGAAGGCCTCAACGCGTACGAGAAGAACACCGCCGCCTCGCCCTCCACTCTCTTCAGCACATTAATGATCTTAAAGGCCGCGTGTCTTAACAATCCGTGTTATATCGATCGCCTCATTACGCCGTTCATGCGAGTGCTGCAGAAGATGGCTCGCGACCACCTCCAGCCCCCGACGCCCACCGAACTCAACACTCCGATGGGCACAGAATTGCTTATATTGAGTCTCGATTTGGTGAAGAATCGGATCGGAGTGATGGGCCAAGAGATGCGCAAAGCGTTCATTCAGACAATACTCGTCGGTCTCATCGAGAAGTCGACGGACTCTAAAGTGATGAAAGCGATCACCAAAATGGTTGAGGATTGGGTCAAGAATAAGGGCCCGTATGGGGCCAATCAGGCGCCTATACTGCGCGAAAAGGCGCTGCTATTGGTGCGAATGATGCAACACATCGAGAAACGCTTTCCCGACGATCTCGAACTGAACGCCCTTTTCCTCGAACTAATCAATTATGTCTATAGAGAGGAGACACTGAAGAACAGTGACCTCACGCCCAAACTGGAGCCCGCGTTCATGGCTGGCCTCCGATGCGTTCAGCCGCACATTAGGGCCAAATTCTTCGAGGTTTACGACGCGTCGATGAGACGGCGACTGCACGAGCGGCTCATGTATATCGTGTGTTCCCAGAACTGGGAGACAATCGGACAACACTTTTGGATCAAACAGTGTATCGAACTATTGATGATCACTGCTGTCAACACCGTTTCGATACTGTCGGCCAATCCGTCAGCGATGTTGCCGTCAGTCATGTCTGTCATCAGTTTGGGTGACTCTCAAGAGAAGGCGTCGTTCGCTAACCTATCGCAAGAGCCCATTGATATGGATGTGTCGCCGCCCGACAAAGATGACGAAGACATGGTTGAGATCGAGCTGAACGCCACGGAAGAAGCGCGCGGAGCAGCCGTTATCGGCGGTCTTAACGATCCGCTGACCACCAGTGTGTTGGCCGCGGGCGGCGTTCGGCGTCCGTCCACACCGTTAGACCCGAAACAACACTTGCAGTCCATTCTATTGAGACAAACAAAATTCATGGACGGTCTGCAGGAGACGCGAGTGATCACATTCTTGACGGCGATGTCCCAACTCTGCCATATGGACACAGCGCTGGCCCAACACATCTGGATTCAAATGTTTCCCAGAATCTACAAAATCCTTAGCGAACGGCAACAGAATCTACTGTCGCTGGAGATCGTGCCGTTCCTGTGCTCCGGGAGTCATGTGGTGCAGAAAGACCACCACCCGAGCGCTGTGGGCACGTTCATGGAGTCGGTGGCTCTGTGCGCGCCGCCCATCACCATAAGGCCGTGTCTATTGCGCTATTTGGGTAAATCGCATAACCTGTGGCACAGAGCGGCCCTCCTATTGGAGAACGCGTTCGAGAAGGTTCACGCCCAGAATCCGCCGCCCAATCAGCCAAAGGTGACCCGAGCGACCACATCGTCCTCGTCGGCCGCCGACCACGACTTCGAGTCCGCGTCATTCCCGGCGTTGTCTCAATCGCAGGAAGCGTTGGACGCTTTGGCCGACATTTACGAACTGTTGAAAGAGGAGGACCTGTGGGCCGGACTCTGGCAGAAGAGAGCCAAATATAACGAGACACACATAAGCATGTCGTTTGAACAACAGGGCTATTTTGAACAAAGTCAGGGCGCCTACGAACTCGCTATGAGTAAAGCCCGCAACGATTACAACACGAGTGCGGCGCCCGTTTCACTGCAGGGCGAGTACCGGCTGTGGGAACGCCATTGGATTCGTTGCTCGAAGGAACTCAATCAGTGGGACCTATTGCTAGACTACGGCAACTCCAAGGACTGCGCCAACCCTTTCTTGGTGTTGGAGAGCGCGTGGAGAGTACCGAACTGGTCGCTGATGAAGGACTCGCTCGTTCAGGTGGAGGCCAACTGTCCGAAAGAGATGGCGTGGAAAGTGGCCCTCTATAAGGGCTATAACAACATTTGCAGCGCCGACGAAAACAACCTGACGATGGTCGACAAGATGGTCGAACTGTCCACCAGTCTGTGCATCAAAGAGTGGCGCCGATTGCCGCACGTGGTCTCGCAGGTGCATATCGTGCTCCTGCAGGCGGCCCAACAGATCATGGAGTTGCAAGAGGCCGGACAAATACATCAGGGCCTACAGCCCAACAATTTGGGCCGCAGTTCCAGCCTTCACGACATGAAAGCCATTGTGAAGACGTGGCGCAACCGACTGCCCGTTCTGGCCGACGATCTGAGCCACTGGTCGGACATATTCACGTGGAGACAACACCACTATCAGGCTATTGTCTCCCATTACGACCAAAACAATGCCATTTCAAACGCGGCCAACGCTACCAATCAGGCGGTGGCCAACGCACTCAACTCTAGCCCACAAACAGACCCGCAGACGTCGCACGCCATGCTTGGAGTGCACGCCTCGGCCCAGTCTATCATACACTACGGAAAGATCGCCCGAAAGCACAATCTGGTCAGCGTTTGTCTCGATTCGCTCAACAGAATCCACACGATTCCGTCCGTCCCTATTGTCGACTGTTTCCAAAAGATCAGACAACAGGTCAAGTGTTACCTCCAGTTGTCGAACACAATGGGAAAGAACGAACTCCAGGAGGGGCTGGAAGTGATTGAGTCGACGAACTTGAAGTACTTCTCCAAAGAGATGACCGCCGAGTTCTACGCTCTGAAGGGTATGTTTTTGGCCCAAATCGGGCGCTCAGACGAGGCGAACAAAGCGTTCAGCGCCGCCGCCCAACTGCACGACACTCTGGTGAAGGCGTGGGCCCTGTGGGGCGACTACTTGGACTCGATGTTCACACGCGACCGGTGGGACAGTCGACAGATGGAGTTGGGAGTGTCGGCGCTGACCTGTTATCTGCACGCGTGTCGCCACCAAAACGAGAGCAAAGCCCGGAAGTATTTGGCGAAAGTTCTGTGGCTCTTGTGTTACGACGACGAGAAGTTCTCGTTGGCCGAAGCGGTCGAGAAGTACAACGTCGGCGTTCCGCCCAACAGTTGGCTCCCGTGGATACCACAACTCATGACATGTTTGGTCCGCAACGAAGGCAAACTCATCATGAATATCGTGTCACAAGTGGGCCGTGTGTTCCCGCAGGCCGTCTACTTCCCCATCAGAACACTGTATTTGACGCTTAAGATGGAACAGAGGGAGAAGTTGAAGACCATGTCAGTCATGGCGGCCGCTCAGGCCCAACAAAATGCCGCTCAAACACAGCAAACGCCGGCCAAAGTGCCGGTATCGACATCTTCCGAACCCACGACTCCCGATATCAAACCACAGATACAACTGTTGCCACAACAGCTGCAACAGAAACCGCATACACCCTCACAACCGGTTCCGCCGCAAACACCGCAACAGACACTGCAAGACACCCAATACAGGGCCACTCAACCGATGTGGAGGTGCTCTCGAATAATGCATATGCAACGAGATCTTCACCCGACGATCCTATATCACAACCGGTTCCGCCGCAAACACCGCAACAGACACTGCAAGACACCCAATACAGGGCCACTCAACCGATGTGGAGGTGCTCTCGAATAATGCATATGCAACGAGATCTTCACCCGACGATCCTATCGTCGCTCGAGGGTATTGTCGACCAAATGGTTTGGTTCCGCGAGAACTGGTACGAAGAAGTGCTGCGACAACTGCGACAGGCGTTGGCCAAGTGTTACGCCGTGGCCTTCGAGAACAGAGCCAATGTGGCCGAGGCTTTGGTCACTCCCAACACACATGCATTTGTCAAAAAACTTGTGTCCACTTTCGGGATCGGAATCGAGAACGTGTCGAGTTCTCAGTCGGCGCCCAACTTCGTGACCGCGGCGTCCGAGTCGTTGGCGAAGAGAGCGCAGGCGACGGCACAGGACCCGGTCTTCCAGAAAATGAAGGGGCAGTTCACCACCGATTTCGACTTCAACGCTCCCGGAGCCATGAAATTGCATAATTTGATCACTAAATTGAAGAAATGGATTAAAATACTCGAAGCGAAGACCAAACTGTTGCCCAAATCGTTGCTCATCGAAGAGAAGTGCAAAATATTGAGCAATTTCTCGCAACAGACGGCAGACGTGGAACTTCCCGGAGAGTTCTTATTACCCAAACAAAGCAATTATTACGTGAGAATCGCGCGGTTTATGCCTAGAGTCGAGATCGTCAGCAAACACAACACCGCCGCCCGACGGCTGTATATACGCGGACATAACGGCAAGATTTATCCCTATTTGGTGGTCAACGACTCGTGTCTGAGCGACGCCCGGCGCGAGGAACGGGTGCTTCAGTTGCAGCGACTGTTGAATCACTATTTGGGCAAACAGAAGGAGACCGCCAAACGGTTCCTGCACTTCACAGTCCCGCGAGTGGTGGCCGTCAGTCCGCAAATGCGTTTAGTGGAGGACAACGTGAGCTCTGTGTCATTGCTGGACATCTATAAGCAGCGCAACGCCCGCCGCGGCACTGAACACGACGCCCCCATTGCCAAGTATTACGACCGGTTGGCGAACGTACAGTCCCGGGGCTCACAGGCCAGCCATCAGGTGCTGCGCGATATTCTCAAAGACATTCAGACGACAATGATTCCCACGAATCTGATCAAAGAGTGGGCCATTCAGACCTTCCCGTCGGCCACCGATTTGTGGACATTCAGGAAACAGGTATTAATAGTGCTTTTCTTAACGTTCAATTGACACCCAATTAATGGCCAAATTGTTTTGTTTGTGGGAACTATTAGTTTACTCTTCAATTATCTTTGGCCGCATTCGCCGAATACGTGCTTCACTTGACACGACTGAATCCAGAGATGATGTACATTCATCAGGACAGCGGACTCATGAATGTCGCCTATTATCGGTTCGACATCGACGACAGCACCGGTATGTCATCCCAAAACACACACTTGTAATCAACTCGTGCTTTGAATATATTCTGATTGCTATCTCTCCGCGAATAACAGGCGAATTGGACGGCAATAGACCCGTCCCTTTCAGACTCACACACAACATATCGGAACTGATCTCATGGATGGGAATGTCGGGTCCGCTCACCTCATCGATGATAGCGTCGGCCCGATGTCTGGTGACGCCTAACTTCAAAGTGCAGTCCATTCTGAGGGCTGTATTGAGGGATGAGATGATGATGTGGCACAAGAAGGTATTGTCATTTGTTTGTCCGTCCATTTAGTCTTTACGGCACTCATTAACGAATGCAATCCAATTGCAGACACAGGAGGACAACGCCAACGCCTCGGGAGAGATGATAGTGGACGGCGAGACTCTCATCAATGTTGTCAACAAAGCGGTCGCCGCTATTATGACTCGTCTTCAAAGTCAGTCATCATTTGATCGATTAGTTTTCAAGCGTTTTATTAACACTTTGTTATCTCTTAATAACAGGTTTGGCTGTATTTGAGGGTTCGGACAGCAAAGTGGCCACTTTGGTGGCGGCGGCCAATTCGCACGACAACCTGTGCCGTATGGACCCCGCGTGGCACCCGTGGCTCTAATTGGACCCACAATTTGTATTTGTTATATTCAATTCATATTCACATTTAGTCTTCAATATTTAGTATTTTTCTAACTTAATACCAATAGTAGAAATAATTTCAATCATTTTTGTATACAATTTGACAATAAATTTATTTTTGAGTTATATTTTTTTTGTACCGGTATTTGATTGATAACAGAGTTGTGGAACAGATTCTTCATTTAATGAATGGTAATATTAAACATATGATTAGCGCCAGGAATGGCATGTCATGACTGGTGGCACGAAATGGATTGATATTATTTAACAAATGATAATTAGAATAATCTAATCGGAATCAATAGCGGAGTCGTGTTGGCTCTCGTCGGGTCTTTGGGACCGATTCTGCACAACAGGTTCCGGAGGACAGTCCACTGCCACCGGACTTCCCATTCCTATCTCTGAAATCTCTACCATATTGTCAATCGGTGTCGCAATACTCCTGTCGTAGGTCTGCGTAACCGTGAATGTGGTGAAAAAGGGCTCATTTTCGACCACTTCTTGGCCCTCAAAGTGTAGACAGAGATCACAGAATTTGTTCCAACTATTCTTATGGGCAACCATTAGATCGTTTGTGACCACAACCGCCACCGAGTGTTTGTCGGCCAACGCGCGCAACATTTGGCCCATTTGTGTGGTCAACGCCAACGAATCAAATCCACGATTCTTAGGCCGATTCCGTTTCTCATCGATGGCCACACTCTTCTTCAACGCGAATGACATTAGACTCGAAACCGAATCCACAATAAGGAGTGACAGGTCTTTGAATACGGAGTCGGCATTTGTCTCCAAATCGTAATCAATGGTTTCAATTGTATCGAAAAGTGATGGCATATCAAACACGTTCAACACATCCATTTCAGACATTATCTCTTCGATGGTCTCATCGCTCAGCGAAGGGAAGCGATTGCGAAGTATTTCCAACACTTTTGGCGCAGAGAATCCCAAATCTGTGTCCAAATACAACACTTTATAACCAAACTCTCTGACCACAGAAGCCATCAAAGTATAGCAAAACAATGTCTTTCCGGAACCGCTGTTGCCCTCGATTTGAATCACTTCTCCCCTTCGGATCCCTTTCGTCAATATTTGATCCAATCTTTGAGCAAAAAAATAACCTTTCGTTCAGAAACAATGGCTTCAAACGTGGGATCAAATGTCTTACTCATGAATTCCCGTCTTAAACGAGTGGACGCGATAGTCGTCCAGAGGTTTGCGATACAAATCAAATGCATTCACTCTTTTGGCACCAAATCTTTCGGACAATTCATTTCTGATATCCATTAGTGTCTAAAGAGAAGAGCATTTGTTAGCGATTGGGAAGCGATTGTCGTCTCAATGGTAACCTCGAAATGAAGGCCACTTTGACGGCAGTCCGACCGCAGTTTCGGCAAAGAGTACCCAATCAGGTCCACCACTGACTTCACTTTCATCGACACCAATGTCTTGAGTATATCTTCGGTGATGTGTTCGCACATGTCTTCGCACAGCAATAAACTCATTGTCTGTTTAGACTTAAAACACGAATTGTTTGCAAAACTTTGTGTCAAAATCTCTTTAAACCCCAAAAATGCCAAAACAACACATGTTTTGGGTTTTGACTTAAAATCATGTTTTTTATTAAAGCGCCAAAAGTTGACGACAAGTGTTGTGCGCAAGAGATGTCACCATTTGATCCATACATACATTCTCTCACAGAATCTTGTTTTTTGAGAGAATGACAAGAATTGCGATATATTTATCATGTTTTTGCCTAAAATACATCATTTATTAATACGCTTTTCATTTGCATAAATAAATGCCAAATAATTTCGGGAATAAATTAGAGCTTTTAATCAAATATAATATAAAATAATCCAAAATTAAGTAAAAATTTGTGATACAATCGAAAGAATTGCTATAATTTTGGATTTCAAACAATTTTTAAATACAGTATAGAATAATACAGAATAATATAATAATCAGATATTACATGATTTACAATATTTAAAGTAAATATATATTAATTAACATTAGATCTAATCGACGTATTATTTTAATAATCAAAGTTATAATAAATTGAAGTTTAAATACAGGAATCAAATAAGGTTTACGTGCGATAAATGGTATTATATAAAGATAGGAGACATTAAGCATACAGTCATCAAACTTTCATATCATACTATCTATGGCTCATAAACCGAGTCTTTCATAAAATAACCATAAATATTGTAGAAGTAGTTTTAAGTAAAGCTTATATTTGTTGAAATATATTACTAACCATAGCTTAGACAATAATTACAGAAATTTTATAAAATACTCGACAAATAATAATAATTAAAATAAGACTAATATATGCGTAAACGTAGTCCACAAACGTTTACCAATTGTCGAGAAAGGGGTCGCTTTAGCTGAAGTCCCGATCGGGCAGAAGCATCGGCGCCACTAATGTCCACGTATAGAGTCCACAGCAGACCCACGAGGAGATGATCTTAACCCACATCGCGCCCACACTTTCGCTGAAATTCTTGGTTCCCTTTTCCGGACTGTTTTAAGACACAACACATCAAATTAGTGTCCAATTCATGTGACTATGTTTTATGGGATTACATACTTATACCAATTGGTTAATGTCATCATAACGTAAAGTGTGGCCAAAGCGAACATGAAGTGGAAGAATGACCAGCTGTAGGCCACGCCCTCATCTTCGTTATCCCATGTCTGACCCTTTTTCTCAGCGGTTTCGCCTCCGTCTTCACCGCCTGTCATGAATCAAAAATAATAGTTTTTTAGTATTATTTAAAATCATTAAAAGTTTCCACAAAAAAAACGTGATAAATAAGTGAACGGAAGGAATGGTTAATAAAGACAATACGAAATACAGATAATTATTAGACAATTGAAGACATCAATCAGTGGTCAATACCTTCATTGGAAGTGAGATGAGTAGAAGATCCGCCTATAATATCAATCATCACAATAACAGTCAAGACTTAGAGAGTTATAGGAGTTTAGACTTAGGACTCGAAAATTTAAATTTGCAAAAATAAATCAAAATTAAATTAAAATTAAAAAATATGACTAAAACTACACTAAAAACAAGACAAGCAATGGTTAGTAAAAAACAAGAGGTGGGGAGAGATAGGTGTGAACGTAAGTATAGACTGACCGGTAGCGCCCGTATCGTTCATGAGTATAGTGTTTGCGCCCGTGATTTTGCCCACTTGTGTATTGGTTGAGGTCCTGATACTCGAGTACAGAACGCACACGAAGAACAACACTAATGAGACCAACGACTGGGTGTCGAACTGCGAGGAATTGCCGGTATGTGTAAACACACTTGGCTTACAGTTGTCGTCCACGTTGTTATTCATGGCAGACCACGTCAGGTAACAGATGTACAGTGAGATCAGTGATGACTGCAAGAGTCCCGACCGCTGTTGATCTGTACAACAAATAGATTAGTGTTTTTCGCCATCAAATCATTGCTCAAAACAATCGATTGATACATACATTCCTGCACTTTGGGCAGAATCGAGAGCACAGACATTATGACACACAATATCAACGCGAATGAGATGTAAAACTTATGCAAATGACAGCCCGTGTGTGCCGTGTAGTACACGTAAAACAACACAATCGCTGTGATTGTGGCCAAATAGTTGAAGATTGTGACCGACACCAGACCTAACACAGCGTATCATTCATTAGCGATAATTACACTTTGCATTCAATGCAATCAATGGATCCAATTCTTACCGTAATAATACCATTTAGAACCGGAGTCTTCGAGCTTTGAGACCCAATTCTCGGCCCACGAGTGGGCGAAGTCTATGATTAGTATCAATTGAATCAAAATGAATAGAAATCCGCCGATCAGTCCGAAGTACTTCCACACTATAAACCAGAAAAATAATCTCAAATAATAATCGGATCCCAAATCAAAGACAAATAGTCCTTAAAATACAAACCTTCGCCGAAAGAGCTGTCTTCGGGTATAAAGAAGGCGCCGACAGTAAAGCCAATCAAAATCAAGTATTTAATGCCCCAAAAGCTAAACTCAAGGGAAAAACATTATTAATATAAACACAGTGTCCGAAGAGTGCCAACTGTGGACACAAACCACGAATGAGATGTAAAACTTATGCAAATGACAGCCCGTGTGTGCCGTGTAGTACACGTAAAACAACACAATCGCTGTGATTGTGGCCAAATAGTTGAAGATTGTGACCGACACCAGACCTAACACAGCATAGCATTCATTAGTGATAATTACACTTTGCATTCAATGCAATCAATTGATCCAATTCTTACCATAATAATACCATTTAGAACCGGAGTCCTCGAGCTTTGAGACCCAATTCTCGGCCCACGAGTGGGCGAAGTCTATGATTAGTATCAATTGAATCAAAATGAACAGAAATCCGCCGATCAGTCCGAAGTACTTCCACACTATAAACCAGAAAAATAGTCCCAAATAATAATCGGATCCCAAATCAAAGACAAATAGTCTTTAAAATACAAACCTTCGCCGAAAGAGCTGTCTTCGGGGATAAAGAAGGCGCCGACAGTAAAGCCAATCAAAATCAAGTATTTAATGCCCCAAAAGCTAAACTCAAGGGAAAAACATTATTAATATAAACACAGTGTCCGAAGAGTGCCAACTGTGGACACAAACCCATTCTGTATGGAAGCCCTTCCGTCACGACTGGACTTAACGCCAATCATCATCACACAGAAGATGACGAAGAATACGGTCAACGCAAACATAATCCTATAGACGGCCAGATATCCGACGGCGTTCTCGCAGAAGGCTTTGCCGCCACAGAAGGGCACGTCTTTCATCTTCTCCTGAACCCATTCGGTGGTCATAAGCCACCCGACGATTGTCGTCAACAACAGCATCAATGCATACATAATACGGGCGGCCGTAGAGTTGCGACACGACGGACAGCACCCGAGGAGACCGCACGCCGCAGATGAACAACAACACGCCAACTGTCACGCGTCATCGATGGTGTCAACGGTTCCCATCAATCAAACCAATCCAGTGGCCAAACGGTTCCCGAAGAGAGAGACACAAAAGGGATAATGCGTTTCAGTTATGCAAATGTGTATTGACTTAAGTGTCAAATCATTGACTCAAATGAATGGTATGTTTAGCGACAATACCTGACCGACGGTGAAGATACTGAGCAGAGCTCCCATTGTGTGATCACTGGCGGAGACACTCGACCTGTCCTTCAGATACGAAGATAACGATTGTGTGAATCACTCACTCTAACAGTCGATATTATTTCTCTAGGTTTCCAAAGCGCTAAAACACCATTATAAAAACATTTGTTATTTTTAGCTATTGTTTTTGGGAAAAGAGTGTGCTTTATGCAACTCAACATAAGTTTGCTTATCAAAGCAATCGTTACGTCAGGCGTGCAGTCAATGCATCCCTACTTTGCTTTCATTCATTATATTCAATACGATTACCCCATTGTTCGCGACTTCTATGCTTTCATTTTGTCGTAACGTTTGTTGTGAATAGATATGCATTTGAATTGCATGAGGAGTCATACGCAACATACGTATCACACATATTATTTGCCCCTATTTTAGAAAATATTTCTTATGTAATGTGTTATCAATGGCCTGACGTTTATCACTGAACCCCCGAACCATTATCTGTCACTATATTTACGGATGACTTAATGTAAGCAAATATTGATTGAATTTATTGTGTGTTTTATTGTCATTCAAAACGTGTTTAATATCTAAAAGTTAAATACAATTAAGGATTGAATTGAATTGCGATAACAATTGAATGCATTTTCCGGTGACACTAATCTAATCGTGAGATTTGCTGTCATTTGTGAGACAATTGGTGGCAAAAAATGGCCGAATATTTGGCTTCAATTTTCGGCACCGAAAAGGATAAGTATGTGAATGAATGGGCCGTCAGTTTTGACCATTAAATAGCCCATAATTGTTGATATTAACCATTAATGATTGTCCATGTGTACCATTTGTGATGTACCAGGGTGAATTGTTCGTTTTACTTCAAGATAGGCGCCTGTCGTCACGGAGACCGATGCTCTCGCATACA